CGCGCACTGATCCGACGAAACAACCGCGCGCCCGTGTGCGTCGTTCCAATACTTGAGCGCGCTGCGCTGAATAACAAAACGAACTACTAATTTAAATTTTCCTACGGTGCTTCTTAAGAATCACCGTTGGAAATGCCTTCTTTCGTTGATTACTTCAAAATGACAGCTTCCCAGAAAGAATAATTTCACAGGGAGTTTAGTTCCCTTAATATCTTTCAACCAAGTTTGTTTTTCAACAATAATTACGCCGGTTACTTTTCGGATGGCTGCAAATGATGGACTCTAGCTTTAACCGGCATTACTCAATGCTGGGAAGGTAACAGACTCGCTATGGAGGAGGTGTGGGGATCCCCCCACAGCAGCATATGAGTCTGGCCCAATCGCTAATGAAATAGAGATGGGCACTCCGTTCCTGCGAACACAGGTTCGTCCCCTTTATTCTTTACTTTAGTAGCTGAAAGTTCCTGAAGAGTTTCCTTCTCCTGGGATGAAGGATTAATGTCCTTTAGGAAAGTCAATGTCCTCTACTTGGCATTGTAGAAGTTAACAACACAACCATGAAAATTAAAGTTTTGGCTTGTAGTGGATTTCACATCATTGGTGATGTTAAGAGAATTAGTTGCACTGGTAGCTGAAAGTTCCTGAAGAATTTCCTCCTCTTGGGATGAAGTCAAAGGTAGCTTAATGTTCTCCAGTGTTGTGGATCTGTTTTGTTGCTGATGGGTGGATGGTTTATTGTTATGATCATCCAGTTCTGAATAGAGCTGGTCCTGCTGGTTCAAAGTCAATTGGGTTGCCAATGGTGCACTCATCTGCTTCTTTTTGTCGTTGCTTGTTTTACTGTAGTGTTTGATGTCCACTGACAAACATGATATCACGACTATCAAAGCCTGCACTGTCTAAAACAGTTACGCAAGTTGCTCTCAGGCAGTGATTGGTGTAAACATTACTACATCCAGCTTTGGTTGAGATGATGTTCATTTTGGAACCTAGAGTGTTAGTTCCTACTGGGCCATTGCAGTACCACGGGCCATCATCTGGTGGTGCAGTTTCCTTGGGTCTTTGCCAGAACGTATCAGGGCAGTTTGGATTCAGCTTGGATAAGTACAGTTTCAATGATCTTACGGGGCATCTGTCATTGTCAGGAATTTCATACATGAAACCACTGGATGATTCATCATCATTTTTGCGATTGTTCTTGGTCGTTTGATCACGCCTGGTGACATACTGAATGTCATCTTCATCTTGGGAAATTATGAAATCACTTGGCCTCATATCCCGCAGATCTTCATGTCCTCGGTTACAGAAGTAAACCATAAAGTCAACGAATACCTTATTCTGCAGTCCCCTTGGAGTACTCATGTCCAACTCATTTGATGCTTGCATTTTCTCCATATCAGCAACAGAAATTGGGCTTTTGTGTCTCATGAATCCTTTGCCTTCACGTTTCAATTTCATGAGCATGGCTTTGAATACCTTATTGCTCCCAGCAAATTCTCGTTGCTTGTTAAGGTCCCAGTCATGAAGGGTTAGAATGTGTCTTTGCAGCCCGTAGCGTATTCCTTGCAATGACTTCTTTGTGTACAGTTTTCCATCGAGTTTCCGTAGGCTGGCGTAAAAAAGGCAAAGCAATTCATCAAGAACACGCATTGAAAGCGCTTCTACAGCTGATAATGTTGTACCAACGAATTCGGCGTAAGCTTCCAATCTATTTATTGCATATTTTATCTGCCTTTTGGTGAATGGGAGTAATAACGAATGTCACGTGATGTGAGTTTTACCAATCAAATGACAAGGATCTGTATGTCGGTTATATAAACATGAATATTGAAGTGACGTCATGATGACATCATGACTTGTCATGTGACGTCACGTTAAACAGTGCATTTTTCTAAAGCCCATATCCGCCCATACTGATATGATTTGGTTATAACTTGGTATGTACCTAAACCAGGATGTGTTATAGATGAAATAGAAGTAATATCATTACGACATTATTTATCATATAACGTGATTAAAGGCAAATTTTTCTAAGGCCTTAGGCCAAAAAAAAAAAGTCTCCGGTTTCTGGTATGGAGCTTGCCCAAAAAGTGGTGCGGCGACGCGGCTTTTTTTTTTTTTTTTACCTGATTTTTTTGCTTCAAATGTGTGCTGATGACTGCAAATGGTGCCCGACTAAACTTAGTGCAAATATATGGGAGTCCAGGCCACATAAAGCTTATTCTCGACCATAACCCAATCTAAAAACACGTAGGACGACGTTGCTAGGTAAAAGGGCGCTAACGCACGGAGCTCATAGATATTGACTGAACAATTTGGTTGTAACTTGGTGTGTTCCTACACTGGAATGTGTTACAGAGGAAAATTGAAGTGAAATCATGATGACACATGCCATGTCCTTCCTTCTGTCCCATAGCGTTACGCTATGATTCAAAGTTAAAGGTTAATGGTTTCCGAATTGAAGTGACGTCATGTAACGTTTCATTAAAGGTGCATTCTACAGAACTACAGATCTGATTGGGTTGAATCTTGGTATGTACCTAAACTGTGATGTGTTATAGATGAAAATTGAAATGATGTCATGATGACGTTATCACATGTCGTGTGACATCACATTAAAGTTGAATTTTCTAAGGCCTGTATCTCCAAAATATAGGTCTGATTTGGTTGTAGCTTGGTGTGTACCTAAACTGACAGTTGATGTCATTTTTCAATGTACATTATTTGTTTTCAACAGTCTTCTAATGTATATTGCATTTCTATATTTTTTATTGTCACATGATGGTATGATGTCAGTTTTGTCTGGTAATTTTTAATATATCAATGTCATAATTTTGCCTCACCTGATCTGCTTACTCAATAGTTGCTAATTAACTCTAGTTCCCACACATCTTTTAATCGATTTGTTTTGTTGCTTTTCAATGACAGTTGATGCCTTAGTTCATGCGTTATATGTTCTGAGCAGTTCTTTAGCGGTAATTTGTTTTTGTCGTGTATTCAGGTTTTTTTGGTGGTCAGTTTTATCTGGTACTTCTTAATATTTCAATGTTAATAATGTTTTTTTTAATGGGATAACTATCTGGTACTTCTTAATTTTTTAATGTTAATAATGTTTTTTTTTTCAATGGGATTACTGTTTGTTTTCCAAATACTGTATATCATGTTCAATTCAGCCCTTAGCTGCGAGTCATTTGATTCAATAAACCATTTACTGAATGAATGAATGAAATGAGATGTGTTATAGATGAGAATTGAGGTGACATCATGATGATATCATGACACGTTGTGACGTCACATTAAAGTAATGTGCATTTTTCTACAGAACTACTGATCCATTTGGTTGTAACTTGGTATGTACCTAAACTGGGATGTGTTATAGATGAGAACGGAAGTGATGTCATGATGATGTCATCGTGTATCATATGACGTTACATTAAAGGTGAATTTTACTAAGTCTAGTAAAAGGCCCCCCCCCAAAAAAGTCTCCAGTTTCTGGTATGGAGCTTGCCCAAAAAGTGGTGCGGCGACGCGGCTTTTTTTTTTTTTTTACCTGATTTTTTTGCTTCAAATGTCGGCTGATGACTGCAAATGGTGCCCGACTAAACTTAGTGCAAATATATGGGAGTCCAGAGAGGCCACATTTAAGCTTATTCTCGATCATAACCCCATCTAAAAACACGTTAAAATTGTGCAGCACCAGGATCAGAGATGCCACTTTTCCGGTTTTAACCGGAATTCCGGTTTTTAAAAAAAATCTCACAAAATTCCGGTTTTTCCGGCCGTCAAATTAACCAGAAAAAGAGAAGAAAAACTGTGGAAATGCGTTGATTTTTACCGCGATTTAGTACATTTAGGCGCACGCATGGCACAACGTTGTTCGTTGAAGTAGTCTTAAAACAGTCTTTGTGTATGTTGTTGCCGAGCCTGCATGCGATACAAGCGGCCAACGTACTTAATTGCACGCAGTATACAACGGCGCCTCGTGCGTGCTTCACCGCGTGCGGGCGTGTCGTGTGCTAAGCACGCAAGGCATTCAGTCTGGAAATCAAGTCTATCATTTCAGCTATCAGTGGTTTCCGATCGCAGTGATATATGTGAATACAAAAAATGCGGGTACCAACCATGTTTTCGTTGAGCGCATCGCGTACCGTATAGTGCAAGGATCATGTACACCGACAGCAGTGGGCAAGTTCGCGCAAGGACTATAGTTAACCATTGGTCGACTAACGCTTGCCCGAACTCTGTCTAGTCGACGATGGTTACCTACGCTAGTCGACTTTTTGGAACCAACCTACTGGGGTTGGTTGCTTCGCTGGTAACCATAGCCGCGCGCATTTATAACGTACAGCAGGGAGCCAGGATCCAGACGTTTTGCAATGACATTTTACCATCGTTCGACTAGAGACGTTTGCACGTTGCTATCAGTGCGCAGGCGTAAGGTACGTCACAAATCAACCACTAGTTGACTATTGTCCTTGCCCGAACTTGGCCAGTGTTGTGGAATCGCGCGTGTTTCGCGTCGAATATTACGTTGGAAATTCGGGTAGGCAGAATAAATACATGTATTAGGAATATGGAAAAGTCAAAGTGATTGAACGAACCGACGGCTGTAAAGGCCATACAAGCAAAATTAAAAAATAAACAGAACTTGGCTTGGCTACAAGATAAAGATGACAACGGGGACTTTGTGTCGGACACGGAGTGGCTTTTTCACACACAAAAAAGTCTGTTTTTTTCAAGCAGCCGTTCCGTTTTTTTTTCAAGCAGACCCAGTTCCGTTTTTTTCAAGCAGACCCTGTGGCATCTCTGCAGGATTCCAGTCAAACCAGTGAGTTTTGCGGTTTTGAGACATCATCTTTCATTGAAAAAAAAAAATCTTTTTCATTTTGCCGACGCACATGGCTACAGCGACGCGCGCGCATACCAGAAACCGGAGACTTTTTTGGGGGGCCATTATACTTGTTTACAGTTTATTTTGGTCTTTACCCTGTTTCCTTTAGATTGGTGAGCAAGAATTGAGTCAGTTACCAGAGTTTATATGCAGTTGCATTTCTTCTGTCGTGTATCCACTCCTGGCTCATCCACAAGTCAGTGTCAGAGATCATGCCACTAAAGCATTTTCTACCTATCTGTCACGTTGTGATTTTAAGGTATGTAAAAGTAAGATGAATGGACTTTTACCCCAAAGACTCATGAGGCTGAAAGGGTGTATTGTACTATTGAGTTTGTGCCAATTTGTCTTGAGAATTAACTAAGTGACAAACTACTTGGCTGTCTCCAGTAACACTTGTTTGATTGATGCATGTATAATGACAAGTTGTAACCAAGTAATTGGATGCAGCCAGGGTTATTGTAAACTTTGTTTTGATTACTTAACATTGATTAAATGGGGGAAAAATAGTATTAGGTTTTTGGATCAAATGTCATGTTTAGAATTAAATTATTTTAGTTCAGGATACTTTTGTGTTTTCTAAGTATTACTAGCTTTTTATTCTTGTCAAGTGCCTGCTCTACTAAACAACAAGTATATAATTAACGTTCAAGTTAAAGGTCAAGAGACTATAAAGGTCAAGAGAATGTTATCCGACTAGCCAGATAAAAATTTGGTTCACGCATTATATTCTTGGAAAAAATAGGTTCTACATAAGATGTGGAAACATAACATGAAAATCTACTTTAATTAAATAAAATTAATTGAAAAAAAAAAAACCCCACCAACATGACCAAAGAAATGTTGTATGGGAACACTTGTATTCAACTATGAAAGTTAATTTGAAATGCAAAAAGGATTTTGACAAATTGAGTAAGTATTTCCATTCACATTCTATACCTTTGCCCTGATGTTTCCACTGCAAATTCATAACAAGTTCATGTGGGAAAAAGGATCAACAAAGTACAGATTGCCTTGTAACTTTTTAGGGATGAGCAAGGCTTTCAATTTCGTTGGTAGAGGAGTACAGTACATGTATATGATCTATAGGGTACTGATCTTTATGAAAAAATGGTGTGTTTCTATTTCAGTAATGATATATCTCCATTTTCTACATGTATATTAAAGCTGTGTCCAAATGACTTGGCTAAGGCTTGAAAGTACGTACGAGTCTGTGATAGCGGCTGCAGCCACTTCCACTTCCCATAGACTCGTACATGTACATGTGTGTAATTTCAAGCCAAAGCCAAGTAGTTCTGACATGGCCTTAGTAAAGAATAATGCTCGAGGTACGCATCATTCTTACCTACATGTATTAAACCATTGCTATGACGTCAGAACTATGAATCTGTTACACTGGTCACAAAGTGTGGATTCGGAAATATGAATCTTTAGTAAAGTATGGATTCGGAATAACGAATCCACACTTTGAACATGTCGGACAATTGTTCTCCTTAATGAGCAAGGACCGTCTGCATGAAAATTTCCTTCCGAAAATTATCAATGCATCTTCACTGTCAGATTCTCTGCCGTCATTGCAAAATACAACTTTGAGTCAGAAAGAAATCGTCGTCTGAACTATCCATGTTGACATAAGGAACCTACACACAAAATGACTTGGTTGTATGGGTGTGGCCATACACATACGGTACTTAACACGCCACAATGCTTGATTACGTATAAGAGCCTCGAAAAACTCCCTTGTAAATTACCCTAAATAGATATGGCCATGACTCGACACGAGATATGCAAGTCTTTTCATCTCCACTCACTGGACTGTTAATGTTAATGACAATACTTTTTTTGACGCAATGGTTTAAGTCGAAGAATACACTCGCAAGTGTGGATTCTTAATTGACGAATTCACTCGGCGCTTTGCGCCTCATGAATTCTTAAATTAAGAATCCACACTTTCTCGTGTATTCTCCTTAACTGAATGGCATTTTACCAATCAATATTACACTCAACCGGTTACGTCCCCCTATTGTTTCCAGCGCTCCATTATTTTGCACTTTTATTGAAAGACTCAAGTTTTTTGTTGGTATAAATGGAATGGTACAGTTGCACTTTTCAGTTGTACTCTGAGATACTGGTAGCGTGTTAACGTACATATAGTTTGTTGTGTTACCATACAATGCAGTATTGGGCATGTTTGGTATCCATTTTGAACTGCAACAAGGCACCGTGTATTCGTTCTATGGGATAGCGTGCTTATGACATGGCATTCAGTGATAGCGATAGCAATTTGTTTCCATTACAGAAAACACCTCACCTCTGTTTACCTACATATTTTCATATCAGCGCACCCAAACTGCACCCTCTGCGCCCACTGCATGCCCACAAAGGACCCTGTAACATAATAGCTTGTCCTAGTTTTTTCAGCGACACATAGCATCAACACGTACAATTTAACTGTACTTGCTGTGCTTGTAAAAAGAATAGTGTAAGCTCAAGCTGTTCTGCTGGGAAATCACCCTCCAGTCAACCATCCAAGCGTGATGCTTCCTCTGCTACGACCGGGTCCAATCCTCTGGGTTCGGTGGCAGGATATACCCCAGGGGAGAGTACTCCTGCCACTCCCTGGAGAGGCGTGGCGAACCCCCGTATTTACTAGCTAATGAAAGACAACAGTGATGGCACAACTAAACAACACAAATCCTGTACGGCTGCCAGCTCCGGGAGTGAGCAGGAGCACAGCTGCGGGACCCGGTGCACATCTTAACTGGCATTATGACGCCGTTCCCTGGCCAGACAGTAGATGAAGACAGTCTCTCCCTTTTCCAGCAGGCTAATCTTACTATGTCAGAAGTGGGTAAGCTCCTTCAGTTTCCACCCCCTTCCCCAGTCCAATCTACTTGACCTTAATACTGCAGAGATTCTTGTACATGTACATCTAAACTTAGACAGCCCACATTTCCTAAATAATAATTGCGCTTAAATAGCACTTTCCATCGTATCAACAATTTCAAAGCGCTTTACAACTATTACCCCGTTCATCAGGCCATGGGACCACGCGGCAGCCAAAATCAGCGCTCAATCGGTCCTCGACCCTCACAGATACCCATATATACTCCTGGGTGAAGAGAGGCAATTGTAGTCAAGTGTCTTGCCCTAGGGTACAAACACCATGTTCCTGGCTGGGTTCGAACCCACCCACCTTCGGACATAGTCAAACACCGTAGCCACTGGACCATGGAGTTCTACATACCGTGGCATTCTTCCTATCGATAGAATGTGTGCAGACACTATGAATAAGGCCTTTACACAGGTGCAGGATAACAATCACTCTCAAAGACTGAGCAGGTTTACAAACACGTGCAACACCAATAAACCTGACAGTGATAGATTTTTTCAACCCTCTCCTTGTCCTATGAGGCCAAAGACTTACTGAGACGTGAGAACCCGCAACTTCATAAAAAAAATTTGATAGTAGAACAAAAGCACTTGACAAAAGAATTTTCTCCTTTAAAGCCCGAGTCCATCATTTGCAGCTATCCAAAAAAGTAACCGGCGTAATTATTGTTGAAAAACATACTGGTTGAAAGATAGTAAGGGGACTAAACTCCCTGGGAAATTATACTTTCTGGCAAGCTCTCATTTTGAAGAAATCAACGAAAGAAGGCATTTCCAACGGTGCTTCTTAAGAAGCACCGTAGGAAAATTTAAATTAGTTGTTCGTTTTGTTATTCGGCACAGCGCGCACAAGCATTGGAACGACGCACAGGCGCGTGTGGTTGCTATAATTCGTTGGATCAGTGCACAACATCGCGTAAAGCTGCAATTCAAAACAATTCGAAACATGATTTAGCAACTTTTGATTTTAAATTGAGATCCTAGAATGCTGTTTTTCTCGGAATATGAAGCTGAAGCTGAGCTGAAACTTCATCAAGTAAGTTGTTCAGTATCCTTCATTAGATTTTGAACACTTTTGTTGCTTCAAACAAACAAAATGCACTAATTACAAATGATGGACTATAGCTTTAACCACCTACATGTATGTCACAGGGCCAAGGTGGCCTCTCCCTCCATCCTGTTATCGGATGCCCTTGCCCGATGTTATGGAGACCCTTCCTTGTGTCAGCCAAATAAATTACCCGAAATGTTCCATGTTTTTAATGACTGTCTGAGGTTTTGCCTCAAGGAATTTGCTTTGGGGTTCGCTACAACTTCATTGCTACGATGCAGTGAAAGTGTGCCAAAATTAAATACTCATTAAAAAACTTGATGAAGTTAAAATTAGAAGTACGTAAGGGGTTTGCAGACCCTTAGATTTCAATGGAAGTATTTTCAAATCTTTATGACGTCATTAAAATACTTTTTATGATTGGACGAAGCAAATTATCATTGTAAGGCCAAGACAGATTTATATTAGTTTGATTATTGAAACGTTTAGGGGGTTTCTGGACCTAAGCAATTCAGTGGAAGCAATCTTTAATTTATATGACGTCATCAAAATACAGTGTTTAGATTGGTTGAGCCATTTTTCCTTTCATAACATAGGAATATTCATATTAAGTGATTTTTGACACCTAAATTAGGTTTACAGACACGTACAGATCTATGAAAGCATTTTTAAATCTGTATGACATCATAAAAAGAGTGTTTTCCGATTGGCTAAGGCAAATATTCATTGTAATAACAATGCAGATTCATACTACATTAATTATTGAATGGTATAATGGGTTCCGGACCTAAAGAATTGAAAAAGGTCATTTTTTTTAAAAACTTTCTTTTTACTGTTTGGTTGAATCAATTATCCAATCAAAAGAGCCGGGTAGATTAAATATTTAACTGATTGTTGAAACCTAAATTGGTTTGGGGAAACGTATTTGAAATGCTGCACTTTGATTGGCGGGTTGAAATTACACGTATATTGTAATTTTAATGTGGATGTTACCTATTATGCTGCACAATTGGCATTAGAGGAATATGAAGTCATGCAATTTGCTGTTGACTAGACATGTTTGCAACTACAATAATTATCAAAAATTAGGTAAGTCTTTCCATTTATTTATTATGACATAAGATCTCAATGAGATTTGTGATTTTGTCTTACTTACACCGTGGCATCGCTCCCTGCGGAGCTACCATCCTCACAAGCTTCTTCCATTTGTGAGGATTGGTTGTTAAAGGGGCTGCTTGGATTTTGTAGAGATTCACCCTTTCCAGGTCTCTGTCCGGTGTGTCCTCCCATGCAGTTAGATATTGTCTTGGTTGCCG